GGGGTGCGGGGGGGCCGCAGTCCCTGTCCTGTGCTATGCACCTCACCTGGGGGGACGTGCCGCGAGTGCGGCCCAGCGGATTTAAAGCCCTTACACCGTCCGGCAGCAGCAAGCAGCAGCCGCCCGCCTCGCCCAACCTCGGACGCACCCTCCGCGGCCGGGCCCGTCGTCGCCCATTCACATCATGAAACAAAGCGCGCTGGGCCGTGTGGCGATCCGGACGCGTCCGCCCTGACCGCCGCCCCATAGCCCAGGTGTGATATCGCTCCCACCCACCCCAGCCCGCGATGACTCCGCTGCCATTGATCACCGCTGCTGCCGCGTTCGAGCGGTACAGGTGCCTGAATCACCTCCACCCGCGCCCAGGCACGTCCGCGCCGCCCCGCCCCGCAGCCCGCACCCCTGCCTGCAACATAGGCTCCGGACCGGCAGGGTCCCGCGGCAGCGCGGCGAGGAGGCCGGCCGGCCCAGGCGGAGCAGGGGCATTTGGAGACTTGCCCACGACCGCGGTTTTAAGAATGGACGCAGCGCAGCAGTCTTACAGCGTTGCCACCACCACGCCACCCGCCACTACTGCTGGCGCCCACTAAATTGTCTCCTCTTGGTGTTTGACGTCCAGCACCTTTGGTGAGCCCGCATCTCTGTGGTGGCTTCCTGACGGATCAGGGATGGACGGATGTCCCTCAAACGTGGCTTTGGTGCTTCAGTTGTTGATGTCAATGTTAACGCAGCTTTGCTATGAAAAAGTTTGCAATTCTTTTGTTTTGCTGATACTGTACCGCATTCACGCGTGTGAGCAGGTTGCCTAATCGCACGGCGCCCTATGAGGATGTAGGCAAGCGGCAAGCCGGCCCGCACGTCATTTACGCAAAAAAATGAACGGGGCTTATGCTATGTACATAGAGCTTGCGATACGTATCGTACTCTTTTACTTTGTAGAGGTTTGTGTTCATATTTTGAAAGTTTGAAAATAATTCGTATCTGTTGATTCCTCCCCCGGGCTTTTGGGTTGGCCCCAAATGAATATCCTCCATTTCCCCTAAGAGAGACTTCCTTCTCACCAGGTATGCCTTCACCCGAAAATAATAATATTTCGTTCATCGTTACTCCGAGCAGGGCATAGCAGAACATGGG